CGGGTACAACACCCACAAGGCATCACGTTTCCGCGGGTGGTGCCCCGCCCGCCGTTCCGCCCGCGGGTACGTCCCTGTACCACAACAAATCCCTTCGGGATTTTCTCCTCAAACACAAATTCAAGTCCAAAACATGCCAAATCTCACCAAACACAACAAAGTGACTTGAACCAAGGAACATGCCAAGCAATGGCACAAAGGAATCCTAAACACAAGCTCTAGATATGCAATATCACAAGATAAATGCATAAACTCTCACATTTCATATCAAAACACAAATAGAAGCGAAGAAATCATATATAGGTAAGCAAAGTAGGTTTTGTAGAGCATGGGTTACCTCTTGAAGACCAAAAGACTCTTCTTACACCACAACAAGCTCTCTACTAAGCTCACTAGCCAAACCCACTTCAAGATCAAACCAAAAGATCATAAAGATCCAACCTTTAAGAAAAAGACAACTAAGATGGAACCAAAAAGACTAGACAAGCTTAGATCTTACCCTTCTAGATGCCAAAATAGAGGAAAGATTGAATCTTGGAAGCAAAACTTGGAATCTTGACAAAGGCTTCTTTTGGCTTGAGGAACAAGCTATTCTTCTATTCTAGAGAGAAGGTAGAGATATTTTCTAGGAAATGTAAGGGATGAAAAATGAAGAAGTCTTCTAGGTTTAGGTTACAAAACTAGCTCTTGGTGAAAAGACAAGGATACCCTTACTAACTCTTAGAAAGTGTAAGGAACAAGGGAATTCCTCTCAAAGCACAAGGTACAACACCACTTAAAGATTGACTAGTCAAATACTAGTCCTTGAGTATCAAAAATCAGGATTTTAGGAATCAATTCCTCAAAAGAAATAGAATTAATTACTCAATTAATTCATGGTTTGGAGTGTGGATTTTTGGGTGTCACAAGAAGGCTTCACCTCGGCTACCCGACCAAACAGCAAATGGCTAACCGCGGAACAAAAGATACTAGTCATGATTGTAACAGATAGCCTGTTGCCTACAAATAATAAGAGCAAGGATGTGGGGAGTTTGGAGTGCACGTTTGCTTACCTCCTGAAGCACAAAATAAAGTTCAATCTACCGGCCCTTATGTTGAAACACAGGGAGTTTTGCAAGACTAGCAACCGGCTTAGCCTACCTTACGGGATGATCCTAAGTTGGATCATGGAAAAGAAGGGAGTGGACCTTGAGGTCAAAACCGCAAGTGGCATGATTTTCCAATGCCCAGAATCTCCGTCGCAATGATATCTACTACATCGAAGGGGGACAATACATCACCCTCGAGGAGGTTTGCCTTAAACCTGAAGAGGAACGGAGGGAGTTGTTGATCGACTAGATATCTCCAACAAAGAAGTTTAAACGGGCGATGCCAAGAATGTGGGGGAAATGGGGAGCAAGAAGAGGATAGCGAACCCAAACCACCGGCACCCACACAAGCAAGGGGAAACCGGGGGCCCAAAACGAAGAAGCACCAAACGAGCCGCATCCTCGCACAGCTCACCCGACAGAACCAAATCATGGATGAAGGTTCTCGGCCCTAATCCACGCAAAACGCGCCTTAGATCAGAGGGTGGCAGCAAATCGACACCATCCTGGGCACTCGCGGGGCATCCAGCTCGGGAGCAGGAAACCAAGGTAGACCCGAATTTTCCAATCACCACTACACCAGAAATCCAATCCACCCCAGCCAAAGACAACACGTGGCGCAACACTTCCTAATCGGAGGCCAAATTACGCGATGTCCGGGGGGTGAAAGAATGGATCCAGGCACCGGCTTCGGGGACGAAGCCTCTGTAAGGGGGTGAGAGTGTAACACCCCATGTTACGAACCCTAAACCAAATCAATTAAATTATCAACCACCCTAAAGAGGGGAATTAAAATCCATTGAATTAGCTAAAAGGGGTCCACCATAGTCCATGGGCCTTTATCCCTAAGGGCCAATCCCTTAGTCCTATAAGAAATAGAATTAGTAAACCCATGCCACGTAGATCCTAATTAGGACTCTTAATTATATAAATAGGGACATAGGAGGAACTTAGAACTCACACCACAAATAATCTCTCACCACACAAGAAGTTCCAAGAATTCCCTTAGGAGAAATCAAGAAAGGAGAAGTCTTAAAAGAAAGACCCTTCATAGCCAAGGAAATTAATTAAGGCCCAAGAGGTAACCCATGTCTCAAAAAAACCTATTTTCTTCACTATAATCTCCTTCCTTGGCCTCCTCCTATATGCTTGTGACTTGATTAATTCCTCTATGCTATTTGTGATATATTCTGATGATTGATAAGATGATTTATGTGTATTCTTGGAAATCTGGATGATCTTGATGGTTGAAAAGAGCGTTCTTGATATTGATGTGATGATTCTTGAAAAAACTTTATATTTCTTGATGTTAAATATAAAATTGTGATTTTAATGAATTGGGAGGGATTAGAGCCCTAGGGTGGATAGGGAATTTGTGTTGTAATGTTCTTGATAAATATTGGGTGGGAATTCCCATGTTCGAGTGTAGTTTCATGTTTAGAAGTCGTGATAGGATGAGTATACATGATTCTTGCTTTTGATCCATTAATTGACTAAGTGGCGTCGTTAATTGCGTTTAAAAGTGTCTAAGCATGGTTTCGGGTTCCACAAAGGATCCCGGGATGAATTTGTGATGAAAGAGTCAGTAGGGGTAGGGGTACCCGCCACCTACCCGCTGCCCAAAGATCACCGCCGGGCAGCGGGTAGGCGCCGGGCAGCAACGCCCGACGGCAACCCGCTGCCGGCAGTGATCTCCGCCAGGTAGCCGGCGGGTGACCCTCCACCCACCGGCTACCCGATGGTCCGTTACCCGCCCCGGGTCCTCGGCTTCCCGTTATATGTTCCCCACTCCCCGTGGTGTCCCAACGGACCCCGTTGTCATGCTTGAGTCTAGTTTGATGTTTCGGGTGCCGTTCGTAGGATAAAGAGTAGGAGTGCATGCTAGTTGAATTAATGACCCGTTGATCTAGGTGGAAGACGTATGAACCCCTTAGGACTATTCTTAGTATGTGAATGATCACACGTAAGCAGAATTATATGTCTCCACCTTCCCAATGTGTTATTATGTGCTATTGTGTGTTATGTGATGCATGATTCCCCAACTTGGTTGCGATCAAGTTGGCTATAAGGGAAGTTGAATGGGCTGAGAACCATCCCAACTGTTAACCATGCCGGTTAAGATTCGGTCAGGTATATAAATATTATATAGGCTGCGTTCCACTATACGGGCAGTTGAATGGGTTGAGAACCATCCCAACTGTTGAGATCGGTCAGGTATATAAAGATTATATAGGACTACAGGTCCACATGGGCCTCGGTGATATGACCCACCGACCTGGACGCGCCAGGCGATGTGTAGGGCCAATAAGGCGAGGAAGGCTGTAGTCCACCGACCTGAGTAATTAGGCGGTGTGTAGGGCTACGGCTGGTTGCGATCCACCGAGTGATGGGACAGCGGTGCGCAGGGCCGTATTCTCCGAGGATCTTCGCCCACCGACTGAATCCCTCAGCGGTGTGTAGGGCTTGATCCGCTACGGTCCACCGACTATACGCATCAACGGTGTGTAGGTTCGTAAGTCCCCCCTTGTAAAGGGGATCACGGTCCACCGACTGTGCGCGTTAGCGGTGTATCGGATCGTGGTCCGACGTTGAGTTCGTCAGCGGTCTCCATGGGTTGGTTGCGATCAACTCCCTACATGCCACCGGTATGAGGTAGGGTGCTGCGGGGCCGTGTTAATGCTATACGCATTAACCCTCATGTTCGGGGCATACGATTGGTCCCGTGGCGCCAGTGCAGTATGATTGAGTGTCACAAATGATGATTGAATGATGATTAAATGATGATTGAATGATGATATGATTGATGTGGATATAGACTGTGACCTTAGCTGCAAATTCTTTATGATGATCCTCCTAACTATTATTGTTGATTGTGTGCTTACCCTATTTGCTGAGTACATTCCTGCTTTTAAAACTAGTGTCTCTTAAGTGTATATCTTCCTGCTTCAAAATGATTTTCGTATATATATATATATATATATATATATTTCAACGCGTTGGAGTGGGTTTCCAGCATCTCTCGCTTAACAGATATATTTGACTTTCAGGCACAGAGGGGTACACACCGGAGCGCGCTAGAGACCCGAAGCGTAGAGTAGCTAGTTTTTCCTTTTCGGGCTGCGTGCCATGCTTATGTACTGACTTTACTTTGAGGATTTTAGTTAGTTTGCCTGTGCACCTGAGCTCTCTAACTTTTGGGATTTAATGAGGATTTACCTTTGTTATATAAGCTCTAAAATTTTCAAAATTTCGGGGTGTTACAACTATTGCCAAGGAAATGTCTCATTTACCCTTACTAAGATGAAATGTGTAAGGGAACAAGGGAACAGCTCACAAAGCTTTAGGTACAACTTTTGACTTTGGGTTGACTAGTCAATTTCTAGTCCCCGACTATTGAATTTTTAGGAATTTAAGGAATTAAATTAGCAATTGGATTAGGATTAATTACTTAATTAATCCCTTAATTGAATTTGGGTTACGGGGTGTCACATCCTCTCCCCCTTCAAAGAAACTTCGTCCCCGAAGCTTGGGTACGACGAATTAGATCAAACGGTGAAACGAAACCACAATGTGACAAGAGTGTCAAGAACATCCTTATTGGTCAAAACTCAAAGGATTCAAAAGGTGTCAAACATAAGCAAGAAAAGAGGTATATCGATACAAGGATTGAAAGAATTTAACCAACGGAGATATTGAGCATATCAAACTCTAAACCAAACACAACCAACAACTTCTACCCAACTACCATGGTCTAAAACCTCTAACTTCTAGCACAAACCACTAAACCAACAAACCAACCAAGCAAGCAGGCAAAACAAACACACGAAGCAACCACAACAACTAGCAACGGTAAGACAAGGTACCTGCCGAGAACAACTCTGGGTAACGCTCCCTCATGGTTGATTCCAGCTCCTAAGTAGCTTCTTCTACACCGTGATGCGACCACCAAACCTTCACCATCTTTACTGACTTTCTACGCGTATCCCGAGTCTTAAAATCTAGAATTTTGAGCGCCCTCTCTTCATAAGACATATCATCGTCCAAAGGAATCACTTCCGGTGGTAGAACGTGTGTCGGGTCATGAACATACTTCTTAAGCTGGGACACATGAAAAACATTATGCACTCGCTCCAACTCCATAGGTAAAGCTAACCGGTAAGCCAAATTCCGAACCCTCTCGAGTATCTCATAAGGTCCTATGAATCGGGGGCTCAGCTTGCCCTTCCTTCCAAACCTCATCACTCCCCGGGTGGGAGATACTTTCAGCCAAACTTTATCCCCAACCATAAACTCCACTTGTCTTCTTGCTAAGTCAGCGTAGGACTTCTAATGATCTTGTGCCGCTTTCATCCTTCCCTGAATCTGTTTAATCTTTTCTGCGGTGTCAAGCAAGAACTGCGGTCCCAAAACTACCGGGTTGACCATATTCTCCCAGCACAACAGACTGCGACACCTTTGACCGTAAAGAGCTTCATAAGGAGCCATGCGTATACTCGAGTGATAACTGTTGTTATAGGAGAACTCTATTAAATCCAGGTGATCCTCCCATGATCCTTGAAAATCCAAAATGCATGCTCTCAACATGTCCTTGATGGTTTGAATAGTCCTCTATGTTTGTCCGTCTGTGACCGGATTGAAGGCGGTACTGAGATTAGCTGGTTCCCAAGGCTGCATGTAAGGACTTCCAAAACTGTGACAAGAACCTTGGATCTCGATCGGAGACTATATCTTTTGGTACTCCATGATATTTCACCACCCGACTAACATAAGCTTGGGCCAACTGCGTCACTGTCCATGTTTCCTTCATCGCGATAAGGCGAGCGGTCTTGGTCAAGCAAACTATTACACAGATTTTATCCTTACCGGAACGGTCACTGGTAAGCCTCCCACAAAGACCATAGATATGGAGTCCCATTTCCCTTGTGGAACCTCCAACGGCTGCACCAAGCCTTTGACCCTACAACGCTCTGCTTTCACCTTCTGACAATTCAAGCATCTGCCCACAAACTCCGCTATCTCCTTCATCATATTGGGCCACCAGAAAAGCCTCTTCACGTCTTTGTACAATTGCTGCTTCCAGGATGTACAGAGTAGAGTGTATTATGGCCTTCTTCCAAAATCTAACGCTTCAACCGATCACATGATGTACGTACACATAGACGACCCTCGTACCTCAACTCTCCGTCCCGTGGACAACTCAAACGGTCCCCCTCTTCCTTTGGCTAGGTCATCTCTTGCCCTCATTAAGCTAGCATCCTTTAACTGTTCCTCTTTGATCTCCTCCAAAAGCGTAGGTACGACCCTTAGGTTGAAAAGACGGGCTTCCGACTCGACTTCACCTTGTTCCACCACTTCTTGGTTCATCCTTTGAAATTCCATGCAAAGCACGTCAGCCACTATCCAAATGGAATGAACGGCATGTTTGGTCTTCCTGCTTAGGGCGTCCGCCACAACATTTGCTTTCCTTTCGTGATACTATATGTAACACCCCGTGTTACGATCCCCAAAATCAATTAAATCATTTAATCAATTACCCAAAAGAAAGAATTAAATCACAATAATTAATTAGGAAAGGCCCACCATAGTCCGCGGGCCCTTATCCCTAAACCCAATCCTTAGTTCCAAAAGAAATAGAATTAGCAAGCCTATAATATTAGTTCCTAACTAGGACTCCTAAATATATAAATAGGGGGCTTGAGAGGCACCTAGAAACCCCCCACCACAATAAACGTTCCACCACCCCAAAGAGCTCCAAGAATCCCCCTAGAAGAAATCAAGAAAGCAAGAAAGCTTAAAGAAAGACCCTTCATAGCCAAGGAATTAACTAAGGCTAAGAGGTAACCATGTCTCAACAAAACCTATTTCATAGTTATGATTTCCCCTGTAGGTTTCCCCATATTATAGTGTATTGATGATTTGTGATGTTATTATTGATGATTAATGGGATAATTCCATGGGTGATCTTGACATCGGGAGATTCTTGATAACTATGGTGTTCTTAACGATTATGTGGAGTTCTTGATGATTATATGTGTTCTTGATAATTGTATGGCGTTCTTGATGCCTATGTGTTATTTGTACCGAATCTTGTAATTAGAAGACGAACCGTATTCTTGTTGATATAAAAGTAATTAGAACCCTAGGTTGATGTTCTTGTTGGTGTTCTTGATGCTTATGTGATATTCTTACCCAATCTTGTAATTAGAAGACGAATCGTATTCTTGATGGATTAAAAATATTAGAACCCTAGGTTATATCGTGGAATTCGTATGGTGTTATTCTTGGTATATTGGGTGGGATTTCGCATGATTGGGTGTTTATTATGTCTAGAGAAGCACGATAGGTTATGTGTCGCTTGATTCTTGATTTTGATCCGTTAAATTGTCTACGTGTGTTATCAATTGCGTTTCAAGGTGTCTAAGCATGGTCTCGGGTTCCACGAAGGTTCCCGGGGCGTTTTTGGTGTTGATGAGTCAGTGGGGGTAGGTGGGGTAGGGACCCGCCACCTACCGCGGTCAAAAAGGGGCAGTTCCGGCAGCGGGCAGCTGCCCGCTGCCCGGAACAGTGTTTACCGGCGGGCAGCCGGCGGGTGGCCCCCCACCCACCGGCTACCCGCTGGAAATTCCCACACTTGGGACCCGACTTCCCCGTTTGATGTTTCCCCCGATCCCCGTGGTGTCGCAACGGACTCCGTCTATCGTGCCTATGTCTTGTTTGATGTTTCGGGTACCGTTCGTAGAGGTTGTATAAGTCTTATATATTGCATGCTAGTTGAATTGGTATCCCGCTGACCTAGGTGAAAGGAGTATGAACCCCTTAGGACTATTCTTAGTATGTGAAGGATCACGCATAGTTTTGTTATACGTTTTCTCCCCTTCCCAATGTGTTAATGTGGGTTGCATGTGCTTGCTATATGTTATCTGTGCATTCTACCCCGACTTGGTTGAGATCAATCGGGCTATACGGGGCAGTCGGTGGGCTGAGAACCATACCGACTGTTAACCAGGCTGGTAGAGACCGCGTCAGGTATATAAATATTATATAGGACTAAGATCCACTATACGGGCAGTTGAAATGGGTTGAGAACCATCGCAACTGTTAACCAGGCTGGTAGAGACCGGTCAGGTATATAAATATTATATAGGACAGAGGTCCACTATACGGGCAGTTGAATGGGTTGAGAACCATCCCAACTGTTAACCAGGCTGGTAGAGACCGGTCAGGTATATAAATATTATATAGGACAGAGGTCCACTATACGGGCAGTTGAATGGGTTGAGAACCATCCCAACTGTTAACCAGGCTGGTAGAGACCGGTCAGGTATATAAATATTATATAGAGTTGCGGCTCATCGGTCGGTTGCGATCGACCCCTCCGTGCTGTGAGACGGGGCAGGGTTCTGCGGGGCCGTGTCAGAGCTATATGCGCTGACCCTCATGTATGGGCATGCGATTGGTCCTGTGGCGCCAACAAAGTGTGCTATGTGATGAGAAATGGATGAGTTGTGTTTATGAGTATATTGGGGGATGTGACTATGGGATTTATGCTGGGATTGTTTATGTTGGGTTATGATTATTAATTGTGCTCAGCTTTATCTGTCTTGCCTGTGGTATACGCTTGTTATAACTGTTGCTTGTGTCTAGCCTTATCTGTTGAGTCATTCCCGGTTTTAAAAGCTAGAGTCTCGTAGGATATATCTTCATGCTTCAAAATGGTTTTGTATATCTATATATATCTCTATACGTAATGTATTTCAATGCGTTGGAGTGGGTACCAGCATCTCTCGCCTGAACAGATATATTTGGCTTTCAGGCACAGGACGAGTAGATCACTGGAGCACGCTAGAAGCTTGGACGTAGCTTAGATAGTTTTTCCCTTTCGGCCTGCGTGCCATGATTTAGTACTGATACTATTTGAGGATATTAGTCAGTTAGCCTGTGTACCTGAGTTCTCTAGCTCAGGTGTGGCTTAGCACCCCATACTCTTGTATTATGTTTTGGGATTCAACGAGATCTCACCTTTATTTTATAAGTTTTAAATATCCTGAAAATCTGGGGTGTTTACAGTTGGTATCAGAGCCTAAGTTGACCCTAGGACAAGACTCTTAAGACCAGACTTTAGGACAACAGGCTCGAACTCTAAGTATTTAGGAACATAGGATTCAGGAATCTTAGGACACGCGGTGAGACTGTGAAACCTACACATAATCTCCCTTACCGGAGAAAACCTTCCCCGTTATCACAAAAAGGGACATCAAGCCCCAATTTAACGTTCTTATAAACTTTGACCCAGGAAGACGACGACATGGCACCCAACAGAAGACAATCAAGGACTCCAGAACCCGCCGCGCACGACCCCCTAACCCAAACGCTACAACAACTAATACAAGTCGCCCAAGCACTGAGCGACGTGGCTCTCCGCAACGACAGGCCCCCACCACCTCCGTCGAGCGCAAACGCAGACTTCGCCCGACAAGTCTCTAACCACGACCACCCACGTTCTCAGGAGAAGAGGATCCCGTGATCCTGGAGGAATGGATCCGAACCCTTGACAAAATTCTCAGGTTAGTGGAATGCCCAGAAGAACGCCGCGTAGAGATAGCCTCGTTCTACTTTGGACACGAGGCCAATCTCTGGTGGATCCACGAGGGTCCCACTTACCAACAAGAACCGGGGTTCAACTGGGAGCAGCTCAAAACGCGACTACGAGAGCGATTCTATCCAACACACGTGAGGGCATCCATGTACGAGGAGTTTCTCCATCTAAAACAAGGGGCAGCTACCATCATGGAATACCACAAACGATTCCTTGAACTAGCACGCTTCGCACCAGAACTAGTCCCCACCGAGGTGACCAAGATAGAAAGATTCGTATCAGGCCTCAACTTTGAAGCCCGAAAGGCACTAGTGGTAAACAGGCCTCGGACTCTGAACGAGGCCTACTCCAGTGCCGCTAACCTCTACCGAATCCAACTACTCCAACGCGGGGTCCAAGAGCAGATACGAAAGAGGAACCCCGGAGGAGGGGCACCACCAGTAAAGAGAGCAAGAAACGACACCAATACAAGACCGAGTAACCTGACCAACCAAAGGCCACCCCTGGGGAACAACGACGCTAACACCAGGAGTTTTCCTTGTCCAAAGTGCAACAAGAACCATAGAGGCAAAGATTGCATGGGCAATCCCTTGCGGTGCTTCAACTGCGGAGAAGAAGGACACAAGGCTTTCCATTGCGCCCAACCCCAGAAACCACGCACTACCACCATAGGAAAACATGGGGGCACCTC